GGCAAGCTTTAGGTGATGCTTATGGTCTATCGACTGAATTTGAAAAAACGCAAAACAGTTGCAAGTAATTATCCAGATCGTTCAAAAATTATTCCTTTTCCAGATTATAAATTAACTGGACATTCTAGTCGATGGGAGCGTGGTGATTGGACTGATGATACAGATCAATGGATATTAATTTTAGAAACATTACTCGAAGGAAATAGTAATGAGAGAATATTTGCTAAGAAATTAAAGAGATGGATTGAGTATGGTTTTCCAGAATTGAATGATTCTGCAGGAATGGGATTAGGCGCTAATATAGAACAAGTAATTTAGTGTTGTCTAATACTTTTAATTTAAATGAGACAAGAGAATTTAGCTATTGATTATCATGCATTTTAGGTTGTTTTCAGTCATGGATATCTTCGTAATCCAATTGAAACTAGTAGAATGATATGGGAACATGGAAATCGACAAGCAGCACCGAATGGAGCTGTTATGCGTTGTTCAGCTGTAGCATTTGTTCATTTCAATGATTTAGAAAAAGTAACTATGTAGAAAATAAGAACCTTTTCACATTATACAATAAATAATGAAATATTTTTTCACAGGTTAAATCAACAACAATATCAATGTGTAAAACGACTCATTTTGATCCTCGTTGTATTGCTTCATGTTTAACTGTATGTTTAGTTATTGCTCATCTTTTAAGAAAGAAAATGAATGATGATAATAATATTGAAGTACTTATTACAAGTATTCAAAATGAAACAATTCAGATACTTGGTGATAGTTTTCCTCAAGAACAATGCGAATCATTTTTATGGCATACAGATCGAGCACGTACATTAGAAGAACTAAAACTTGATGATCCACGATCTATTGGTTATACATATAAATGTTTAGCATCAGGATTTTATGGTTTAAGATCGATACGTTCATTTCAAGAGACATTAAATGATCTAATTCGATATGGTGGTGATGCAGATACTAATGGAGCTGTATGTGGAACGATGTATGGAGCAAGATATGGTTATAAAGCATTACCTAGTGAATGGTTAAGAGCATTGCCATATAAAAAATGGTTCGATAAAAAATTAATTCAATGTTTCGGACAAATGAATTTAATTGATAGAAAATTTATACATACAAAATTTTGAGTTTCAAAACCAATAATCTTTGTTTTTATTTCTACTTGTTTAACAAATTATGTTGAAAATTTTTAATACAGTCAAGAACATTACGATATATAGGTCGAAAACGAATAATATATTCGTTCTCTTACGCTATTCGTTGGAATTTTCCTTGTATTTCTTTCATATATATATATATATAGAATATTCCCCTTTGGTTAGAAATATATATGGTTATTGTTTGATTTCAATAAACAGAGAAGAAGAAAATACTATGAGCCTTACCTAGATTCAAGACGCTCCGCCGCCTATATTTTTTGCTTATATATATGTTCGTTCTTTTGTAATAATGTCACTCGAGGTATGGTCCAAGTCGAATCTTTCATCTTCATCACTTTTTATGGAGTTCATCCCATCTTTTAACTGTTTATGGCTATATATATATAAATGTATATGTCATGCAAGAAAAACGAAATATTTTTCGGACTCAATAAGAGCCTTTTCGTATTGAAATATTATTTATGTATTAACATTTTCTTTTTCTCTTTATAGTACACTTCTATTTACTCAATGAAAATTCCAAATCAACTAATTATCTTTATTGTTGCATTTGTGCTTTTACCTCCATATGTTGTCACTAATTTCTGTTATCGTCCAAACTATGAATTATTCGATGATATGTACATGTCTAAAGATACTGATATGTGCACTATGTTTATGCAATCATACATCGATAGTGTTGATATGAAAATATCCGTTAAAGATTATTTAATGAAATATCTTCCGTATAAGTATTTATCTAATGGACATTTACATTCATTTACTGAATATCGCAATAAAAACTATACATTTCTTCTTACGTCCGCAATCGATCAAAATCAAGAAAATTTTGAAAAAGTGAAATATCAATTTCAAGTTGATAATGGCAATGATAACAAGAAGGAGTTACATTATATATCAATTAATTGGGATAGAAAGTCTTCTGACATATTAGATGATATTCGTCAAAAATTTAAAATTATCGAACAATGTAATTCAACAATAACATTTTATCTAACATTTCCATCTTATCCTGAAAATAGTTTATTATTAAAATTTTTTGAAAATTTTCAAAAGAAATTAAACATACCAATAAATGATCCTAATGCATTACCTTATCGCCACGATATTGATCCATCATTTTTATCTATGGTTGATTCATTACCTCTTGTTATTTTTCAACAATTACTTCGACAGCATCATAATGTACGAATCGTTTTATGTGGTCATGGATTTGGTGGCACAATTGCACAATTATCAACATTACATATATTATCGAAAGAAGCCAATTTACATTATACTCAACTTCGAAGTATTACTCTAGGCGCATTATTTTTTGCTAGAAAACAAACAATTGATTATATTGAAAATCATCATGTAGAAAAACATTTTATTAATATTTATCATGAAATGGATGTCATACCATCTTTATTTAATATGGCTGAACTTCTATCTCAATCGGCATCAATGAAAGAACAAGTAAAGATAATAAAAGCAGGAGGAGGTTTATGGGCTACTTTAACATCTTGGTTACCTGGAGGCGGAAATAAAATCATGCAGCCTCAATCGCATCTTAAACATTTAATAACTTGGTTATGCCATAGTTTAACTGCTTACTACTCATCACTATCTTCAACCATCTGTCAACCTTTTATAGTTGATACAGCATTCGATTTTTTTAAAAAATCCTTAGGTTTTATTCAAAGTTCTCTACATGAAGGTTCTATTCCACAATTAATTTATCGACCTGTGGGTATATACAATCTTATTACTTTTCGAAAATATGATCAAACATGGCATCTAGTTAATGTAATTAATACAGAATTTTTGAATGAAAATTTACATGCAACCCTTGAACTTTCACGTAAAACAGATCAAATATTTCAAAATCATTCGATTTCATCATATATTATGGGTTTAAGACGATGCAATCAAAAAGAATTCGAATCAACAAAAGTCAAAACATTGTCAAATGTTCTTTCATCATCCAAATCAAATGAACACATAAAAAATTCTGATAAAAATTTAAATCATTCTGTTATTATTCCACTACCATTTAGTTTTTCTAATCATTTGTATGATCGGTTTCGTTCGGGTGCAAGTTATACGGATATGATTGCATTACCACCAGCTGCTTCAACAATATCCAATTCCACATCAATGAATGATATAATCCAAAAATTTTTATCCACTATTAAGTATCGCACTGGTTTAATGAAAATGAAGTCGAATATTGACACAAAAAAACACAAGTTATCGAGTGTAATAAGTGTTTATGATGCATGTTTAGCTGTCTATGAAACATACGGTGTAGATGCTCGAATGGAATTAATGAAACTTCAATTAGAACAACGAATGTTAGTACCAATATTAGTATCAAATGATAAAAGAATGTCACTACCATTTCGTTCTTATATTAAAACTTTAAGTTTAGTTGAAGTTCCTGCTTTACAATCACAAGAAAATCATTTAGCTTCGGATACAAAATTATTACGTATTGGATTAATTTCAACTATTCAAAAGAAAAACAGTGGATTACCTGGTCTAATAGAAAATCTTTTTCAAACATTTTCTATTCGACAATCGATACCAGGAACAGGAACGGGCATCAAGTCAGAGACAATAGCAGAAATTGGATATGGATTTTTACCTAATTCGTCATCTTCTTTATCTCATCAACCAGTTATAATAACACATATTATCGGTAATTTTCATCCATTATTATCATTCCTTGTACAATATGTCGATGTATTAATTGTCGAATATAATGAAGATGATCTAAATTTTGCCCGGTTTGAATATAATCGTTTATTTGATTTTTTACGCATTCAAAATATTATGATATGGAAGCATACAATCGATGCTGATTTTAATGAAGTCACTCTATTAAAAGAACCATTTGCCATGAATATATATGAAGGAAATAGTAAAGCAGTTACTGATGAATTACAAAAAGAATTATTACGAATTTCTCGTTCAAAAGTGTATATACATTCGCCAGTTTCATCTCGACCTTGTTTAGTTGATATTATTAAAGATATTAATTTATTTATTGATGATGATATAGCAATGCTCGATACAGATAACCTATTTAAAAATATTGATACAATTGATTTAAAAAGAAATCAATTTAAATTTCAACACAGTTATAAAGAAGAAGCAAAATTTCAATTAGAAAAAGATAATCCACTATTACAATTAAATGATAATCGTCGAAAAGAATTAGAAGAAGATATTCGTCAAGAAAGACATATACGTGTAAAAGGACAAAAAGATGTTAGTAACATTCCACTTTTAAAATCTTATCTTGCCGTTATCGACGAAATCAATGATGAAAAACGTTATATTCACAAACGTCAATTTGAATCTGCTCTGGTAAAATTAAATGAAGAAAAAATTACACCATTACGACAAAAACGAGAGGAAGCATTTATTGAAATGAACCAAGCAACACAAAATACTCTTCAGATAGAAAAGGATAGCACAGATTATTTATCTTCCAAGGAAAAACAATCGAAAGCAATTCATAAACTTTCTGAATCTAAACAAAATTTGATTAATGCATCATTGAGTATTGATCATTTCTGGCGTGAAATTTCACATTTATATATAACAAATAAAACTTTATATCAAACACTTCCAGATTTAGCTGCACAACATTTAATTGATGGCTTTTCTTTAGAACTTCTTGATGGTGATTCTATGCTTTTAAATATGCAATGGATTGAACCTGTCTTCGATTCATTAAGTAGAAAATTATATAAAGAACTTGATCGACAAGCTCGTATTTTAGTTCTTTCAATTTGTGGTCCACAAAGTTCTGGTAAATCAACTCTATTAAAAACAATGTATGGAATACGTATTAGAAGTAGTGTCGGTGCTTGTACTCAAGGTGTAAATATGATGCTAATTAAAATTCTTTATCAAGATTATGATTATGTATTATTATTTGATACAGAAGGACTTCGAGCTCCTGAATTTAGTTTTTTACCTGATGCTCATATGCGAGATAATACTTTAGCAACATTTGCTGTTTTGCCTGCCGATGGAACGATTTTATTAAACAAAGGAGAAGTGAATCAAGCATTAGAGGACGTTTTACCTATTGTTTTATATCTTTATGCAACAAGTGCATTATCAATGCAATTAGGTGGACAAACCCCATCGAAATTATTTTTTGTTTATAATCAGATTGATCCCAGTCAACAAGATAAAGGAACTGAATTATTACAAGATTTAAGTACACGATTACATGATGTTACAAATAAAATTCGTGAAGGTATTTTACCAAACAATACGGTATTTAATGGTTTTGAACAATGTCGAATTGATTTAAAAAATTCATCAAATTCAGATTTTCGTATATTATCAATTAATACAAACAATCCACCAATTAATCATCCAGTTGATTTATTTGGTGAAGATTGTCTTCGATTAAGACAATGGATCGGTGAACGAATTACAAATAAAAGTGAAATACATCCATGGAAAGCACGATCGATTTCCGATATATTCGATTATATAAAAGTTGTTAGTGATATGATTCGTCAAGCTCGGCATATAACAAGTCTAAGTACATCATTAGAAATGTTAGCAAATAATAAATTGAATGAAGAAATCGAACGTATAAAATATAATGTCTCATCAAATTTTACAATAATTCGAACTCGAATCGAAAATGAAATTATTCAAAATCATACTAATTCGCCTGAAATGTTGGTTACTTCTATGTTGTCATTTAAAGCGATTGAAAATATTACTCAAACAGCACATAATATGGTATTAAATGAAATGCAAGAAACAATTTTAAATGCAGACATAATGATATTTAAATTAACTGAAGGTAAAAAACGTCAATCTTGGATTCGAGATGATTGGCAAATATTTCTTCACGAAAAAAGAATTCGTAATCGACAGTTTTTAGCAACAAGAATCGAGCGTGAAATAACGAATTATTTTTTTATTGAAAGAGTTGGAGAAAAAATTCGTCAAGATTTTATTCAGAAATGTAATAAAATAACTTGTACAGATTTAGATGATATACAACGTCAACAAATTTTTAATGAAACTCTTCAAAATCGTATAAGAGAATTTCTAGAACCTTATCATTCGGGAATTATTGAAGTTACAAAAGCAATAAAAGAGGTTTATAACCGAAGTATAATTATTCAAAATGTTAAAATTTTCGATGACAAAGAATTTTGCGATAAAAATGGTTTTTTTGAACGATCATCAAACGGCGAAGATGATTTACAACACATTCAAAATTCTGAATCTAAGAAAGAACGATTGTCTCGTGAATATCGATATAAGGATGAGACTCAAAAATTTAATCAAGCTACTGATGAAATAAAATCATATATTAATAATTTAATCCGTAATTATGATCGATATGATCCATTAATCGTCAATGAGGTTTTACAACGTTTACATCAAATAATTTATGAACGTTCAGCTGTTCAACGTAATACAATTCAAGATATCCATCGTGGTACATATTGTTATCTAAGTGATCAATTGATTTATTTACAAAATACATGGGATGCCAAACATAATCGTACAAAACTTTTAGAAGATAACCGTACAAATTTATGGAAGTTCTTTTTAAATGTTGTTAACGGCATTCGGGGTATAAAATTATTCGAATTAGAATTATATAATCAAATAAAAAGTTCATGGAATGTTGGATTTATTGAACACCTTATACGAGATGTAAAAACACAAGTTGCAAAACAACCATGGATTGGAAATAGTGATATTCTTAGTGCTTATATAGATAATGAAAAAATTGAAATATTAGAAAAACAGGGTATTACTGAATTATTTAAAAAAATTGATTCTGCTGGTACATTTTATGAAAATTGTATGATCAAATTTGTTCAAGCCCATATTGATGATCGTGTTAAAAGCAAATGGGAGATATTCTACGAACATTTACATAGTTCCATTAAATATGCAGGAGATGAGGCCAAAAATAGTCCGAAAAATTGTTTGGAAGTTTTTCTTCAAACATTACATAACCAATCTTTACCATTTGCAATTATTTCTCGTTTACCAAGAACAACCAAAGCTTATGGAAATGTTGATGATCAACCAAGAAATATTTTTGATGGAGTTGTTACAACAGTTCAATCAGCAATTCTGAAATTACCAGGATCTTTGCTATATGGAAATGAAAGTAAAATAATTTTAGAAGAATTACAAAAAGATCCTCTTACTGATGATGCAAAACCTCGATGTAATCATGCATGCAGACTATGTGGTGCGCCATGTTATAAACATGCTGGTCATAGTGGACATCACGATTTTCATCATCAACCAGGAGGATTATCAGGACTCCGTACTAGGCGTACTCATCTAATTGTACATAGAACTTGTCATCAAAATTACATGGAAAATCGTTCGTTTAGTATTGATCATGAACATTTTCATCCATATACAGAATTTCCGAACATACTTAACTCGGAAATTCCTCACAGTCAATCTCGACGAAGTCGCTTGGGTGAATATTTAATGAATAAATATCATGACGAAATAGCGAACTATTATGAACTCAAACCTAATCCACCAGTACCGGTTGCGTACAGTGAGCACACTTTAGAAGATATCAAAGCAACTATCAAGAAACTAATAGATCCAACTTCTGGTTAATTTTTCTAGTTTTTTATTTTTTTATTTTCTTATTTTTTTATTTTATGACAATTTTGACCAATTTAAGACACGCTGTATAAGAAACAGTTTCATAAATAAATTTTAATTTTTTTTTAAAAAATATTGAGCCTTCGATTTTTTATCAGTTCTCTCACTCACTCCAAAATTAGATCGAGAAAAAGAAAATACTTCAGACTCAACATTTCGGGAGCGAATGTGGGTGTGGAGGTGCTCTTCGCATTCATCATTTACAGCCACACTCATTCACTACAGTAAAAAATCAAGATTTATCTAAAATATATAAGTATTTACTGGTCGATCAGTGTAGATAATACGGTAACTTGTCACCCACACCCTAAGAAGTGTTCATTGTAATAAATATGAACTTGAACTATTAGTAATCAATTGTAACAAGGTTTTCATCTGTTATTGAATCAAGAAGTTAGATTGCCCTATTTATCCCTAATAATACAGGGTGGTCCAAAAGTCACGCACCAAAGAAAAAAAAATTAAATATCTCCATTATGGCTTGAGCAAATGAGCTGATTTTTTCATTGATGGTAGAGGTATAAACAAGCTTTTTATTCATATAGATATAGCTAAGTACACCCTCTGTTAATTAACCCTATTGACTTCAAGAAAAAAAATCTTATTTTTCATATATCAAAAAAACAAATATAACATAAAGAAAGAGCAGTGGATTGGGAGAAAAACGTGGTCATTAGAAGAAGCTTACGAACAACGCATATTGTATTCATATGTACTCTTTTTTCTATTTTTCTCTTTCATTTGCTTTGAAATAATCGTCATTTTCTGTAAAAATTTTCTTTTATTTATATTACTTTTTTTTTTGATATATGAAAAAAAATAAGGTTTTTTTTTTCTTGAAGTCAATAGGGTTAATTAACAGAGGGTGTACTTAGCTATATCTATATGAATAAAAAGCTTGTTTATACCTCTATCATCAATGAAAAAATCAGTTCATTTGCTCAAGCCAGAATGGAGATATTTATTTTTTTTTCTTTGGTGCGTGACTTTTGGACCACCCTGTATATATATATATATACATATATTAACTTTCAATATGTTGTTACTCTAATTATAACTCATTGCAAATGAACACTGCAGATCTTTCAATCACGTTCATTTTTCTAAGCAGAATCATATCAAAAGATATTACATATTCAATTTGTAATATGATGTATTTGATTTATTTAAATCATGCAAGAGCAAAAAAGAAGAAAAAAAATCATACGCACAAAAAAGACGACAAGAAAAAAAAATGAAACAAAGGCAAAAGGATTACAAGAAAAAAAAATAGATTGCAAGCAAAGTGACTACAAAAAAGAAGAAAGAAATGAATGAGATGGATATACAAATTTGAAATTTTGACTAGAAAACAAAATATATTATTAGTAAATATACATATATATTTTGATTTCTTTTCATGTAAATTGTGGTTTATATGCTAGATAAGCTTTTAAATTGTCAGGTAAACGTAATTGTTTGATTTGTTTTCGATCAACATAACGTAAAATATTTCGTCGTGTTACTTCTTTTAATGTTGTACATGTATATGGTAAAGAATACACTTCAATAAGACGTACATTTAATGATGGTTCAATATTTTTCAAAACAGCTAATGTTGAACCACAATTTGATAATGATGGATAAATATTAAATAAAAGTGAAAACTCATTTGTAAATACAAATGGAGAAAAGAATGGACCACGATAATCAATAATACTCCGTGTATGTAATAATGTTGATGAATTGAGAATATAAAGAAAATAATTACGTTTAACACGTTGAAATATTGGAACTAAAATGACAAAAATTGATTAGTAAAGTCATTTTTATAGGTATTATGTTTTCACTACTTACGTGTGCATAGAACAATAATAAGATGTCCATCATTTGTATATTCTACACGATAAACTTTCGTTTTTAATGTATGATTTGAACAAACAAGTACACGATCTTTTGTTATATCTGTTATTTGGCCACGAACTGTATCAAATTCAGCTAAACGTGAATGACCATAACGTGGATCAAATGAAAATCGTTGGTCATAACCTAATTAGAAAATTCACAAAATTTGATTTATTATTCCTAAGTTAAAACTTACGAGCAGGTGTTATACGTAGTATAGCATATGTTTTTATATCAAATATAACCGTGACTTCATGTATTTGATGACTATATGAATGCTTATCTTCATAATCAGGTGTAATTAATAATTTCGTTCGATCAGGTGATATTAAACAAGCATATGATCTTGCATTAAAACGATGAGCAACAGAATTAAGTTTTCGAACAATTCGACTATTCCATGTTGATGAAGATGATGATAGAGAAAATGTTGGAGGTGGTGTTGGTGATGATGATGATAATAAAACTGAATCATTATTATCCATACAATTACATACTAGGGATGATAGATAAGGTGTTGAACGATGTTTAGAACCATTGATTAAATTTTGAGGATTTTTACTATTTACTAATTCATTTGTATTTGAAATTGAATTTGAACGTGTATTTCCCGAAGTGGAACTATAATAAAAGAAATGATTTGAAAATTATAAGCATTCATTTGGACACAATTACATCTACTCTACCAACCCTGTTATGCTAAATATAGAACTATAGTAGTTAGCAATTTAGTTTGCTTTTTTCTTAGAAGTGATGCAGTGTTTTGGAATAATTATTACTCATCGAAAATAAATTTGAACCTCGACAACTATAATTACTATCTGATGCAAACTATATGTATATCTACTGAGTATTGTACTATTTTTCTAAGCAGAAGTCTAAAAAAGCGTATTGGTGAATGCTATACAGTCGAATTAATAATTTAAGAAGGTGACGACAATACACATTACGATGAATATCTCACCGACTGGTCAATTTTCCAAATCGAATCCTCGACATAGTCGATGATATTGTATTGTGAGAAATGTTAGTATTATTGTTAGTATTATTATTAGCAGCAAAAGCAGCAGCTGAAGCAGTTACCAGTGTACATCGAGCTGAACCAGTTAGATAAGAAACTTTTTTTGTATTATCAACAAATTCATATGCATCATTTTGCATATCTAAACGATTTTCTGTATCATTCAATAATGAACATGATTTAATTGGTGATCGTTGTGGTTCACCAGTATAATAGGCACTTAATGTTGCTGTTTGCATTAATGAACTATGTCGATTAGGTGTATTTACACGTATTGTTGCATCAGATTGTTGTTGAGATGGAATAGGTGATGATTTAGGTCGTTGAGATTGTCGATGAAGACATGTACATTTTTTTGATGAAGATTTACTTTCAGATGATTCTGTAGGAATAGGTCGATCGAAAACAAAAATTTCCACCTAGGATAATTTAATATAGAAACAAAAAAAACGAAATGAATTATAAAACATACTTCATTGTTTCCTTTCCAAAGTTGAAAGACTATGAATTCGTCACAGCATGCAATCACACGGTTTAAACGATGTATACGTTCACGTACAGTATTATCATTTGTACGATAACGTTCGATATTTGATGGTACAGTAAGAATAATATCATCTTCACCATGTTCACTTAATATAAACTGTGCATCACCGAGACGTGTTAAACTTTTGAAAAATCTTCCATTCACATAATACACTGGTTTAGGATTTATACGTCGTAAATCGGAATCATTCGAAGGTGTTGTTGACGTACATGTTACTGCGGATGATGAACTTGATAAACTCATTGCTGAACCAACTAATGCAAATGCTGATGGATTATTATGATTACGTATATTTGATTTATTAGTTAAAAATGAAATAGATGATGGAACAGATGTTGATGTCAATTGAGTTTTTGTCTGTACAATGAAATCATTTGTTAATGATAATGATGTTGATACAAATGATGTTGGAGTTGAAAATGAACTTGATGAAAGTGATGGGAGAACAGATAATATTGTATTATTATTTGAAATTATTTCACAACCACTATCGGTACTGAATTGATTAAAATGACCAAAACGACGTGCATCATAATAGATCCATTTTTGATAAGGAATAACAACAATTTTACGTGCACCAGGCGGTTGAAGAACACCGGGAAGTTGTTTTTTATTTACGGTTATTCCGTTACCCATCTAGAATTATTAAAAAAATCAAGATAATAAAAATGCAGAAAAGTCATGAGATAACTCTATCCTCCATCATCCAAATTTTCTTCTTCTTTTTTTCTTTCTTAGACTTAAGAACAGAGTTTTTTTTTTTATCAAAATTCTAATGAAAAGAAAGAGAATTCTTCTTTTTTTTTTGCAAAAATGTGAAAAGTCCATTATTGTATTAAATTGAAATACACTCATACACACGCACACACACACACAACAAAATGAGTCAGTATTTTTCGTCGTTGTCGTCGTTCTGTCTGTGTGATTTGTGACACGAAAACAGAAAGGAAAAAAAAAGAAGGAAAAGATGAACGACACGGCACACAAATAGATAATAAATGAACATTGTACAAATTCGGTTATGAAAGAAAACAACTTTAAGGAACGCAAAATATCATTCTAGAGTGGAGACAAGGCACAAATAAATATTTATATGTATACGCGCATAATATTGCAAGAAGACAAAAGAAAAATTCGACACTGTACAAACAACAAAAAATATATAAATAAGAAAGCCGAGAGACTAGAGGCAGAAAGGAGAAAAAAAAAGGTGGGATTGAAATGAGTACATAAGAATTGCACACCTTACACGCACTTATAGAAAAAACAAACAGTTTTTTTTCCAGATCGACAGAGAAAGAAGAAAATTAGAAATAACACCTACACATCTACATGTACATGTTTAAGACAAGAAAAAAACAAAGGAACGCATCAACAGCCTGAGATGACAAATAAATGTATGAGTATCATCCATTCGTACATATATGTGTGTGTGCGTGCAGTTTTTTGTTATACAACGTAGACAGATATCACAATATGCGAGAAGAGAAGGAAAAACAGAGATGCAAAAATGAAAAAAAAAAGGAAAAATTCTTTTCTCTTTTTCTTTTCAAGGTAACAGATGATCAACACTTGGCAATGTGTCTGGCGGTGATGGTTTAATAAATAATGAAGGTAATGATGTATCGGTTGGATTAGGATTGCTATGGCCATTCATATATGGTTCAAAATCGCCGAAACTAACATCATCAAATGAAGCAGCCGTATCGAAATCATCATTTAATAAAAGAGAATTTAAATTTGTATCACTACCCCATGCTGTTGAAAAATCAAAAGAATTAAAATCTGTTTGCCATTGTTGTTGATCAGCAACAATTGATTGTATTGGTGGTGGAGGTGGAAGAGAAGCAGAAGGAGGTGGAGGAAGAAGAAGTGGCATAGTTACTTGTACATGTTGTTGTTGTTGTTCTTCTTGTTTAACTTTTTTTGCTGCTCGACGTCTTGGTGCTGGTTTATCATTATTATTTTTCTTTGCTGGACTTGCTTTAGTTCGAGCAGGTTTAAGTAATAGATTGTCAGTTTGTCCTGTTGGTGTTGTATGTTCAAAACGATGTATTGTATCAATTATATTATCAACACCAGAAAATGATGATGAATTAAGACCTTTAAGTAATGTACTTAAGGTTCGTGGTTCAACGACGCCATTTACTACGAGACAATTGCCACCATCATCTAGAGTTGATTGACCACTTGAATGAGTACTATTAGGTTGTGCAGGAGCAATATTTCGATTTTGATGAGATGTATTATGAATGGGAAGCTCTAAATAGAAATAAATATTCATATATCATTTTTATACGTTTTTTAGATCATTAAAAAGTATTTTACAAGTTTTAATAGATCTATATACTCTAAACTGTCTCATGTTCTCTTTCTCTTAATCAAAATAAAAATTTATTAACAAACCGTCTGAATGAGTAATCGATGGTGTTAAAACCAATCTTTGTTGTGATGATTGATCATGTGTAAGTTTTTGTTGAATAACATATGGTTTATTATTAATAAAAAATATTTGTTGTGGTTGTTTTCTTTCATCACCATTATTATGATTATTGTTATTTATATTATTACTACTAAAAATAATTTGTTGTGGTTGTTGACTATAATCGTTTGTATTTGTCGTTGTTGGTACATGAAGTACAACAGATTGACGAGTTGCAGAGTTTGCAATAGGCAATAAATTTGTTGTTTCTGTACAATTTTTTAAACCAGATGAAATAATTGGAAGTTTTTTCTTAATCGTTGCTGTTGATAATAATGTTGCTGGTGGAGATGATGATGATATTGATGATATATTATTCCGTTGTTGTTGTGTTTGTGCTTTTTGAAATAGATGATTAACAATAGCATTCGAATCAGATGCTGCACCTGATGCAAGTGCTGATAAAAGAAAATTTGTTGTTGATGGATCATTAAAATCAATCATTAATGGTTGAGATGAATCATTTGTTTGTTCATTATTAGATTTTATTAATGAATATTCATCGAAATTTGTTGTTGATGGTAATGGTGCAATAGGTTTTGGTGTTGTTTTTGTTACCATTAATGGCGTTTGATTACTTGTACCCATAAGAGATATAACATCAATTTGATTTGATGTTGCCGCTGCTGTTGTCGTTGTTGTTAGACATGGTTTTTGAGCAGCTGCTGGTGATCGAACAAAATCTGGTTTAAGTGCATTAACATTCAATGTTACAGCTTTACCAGTTGTTGTTGTTGATACAGTAGATGAAGCTGATTCAACACGTACACGTTTATTATTATTATTGGTATCTCTATTAGGTGATAGAAGAACGTTTTGTACACCAGATAAAACAGCGATTGTTGATTCATTTGTTGTTGGTTTAACTTGTTCAAATAGAGATGGAACTCGAGCAATAACATTTGTATCTGTTGTCGATGACGGAGTTAAAACATTATCATTAATATAACGAAGATTATTGTTCGTATTTTGATGATGAGTTGATGGTGATGTTGAATTTCGATGAATGAGATTTGTTTGAGATGTTGATGAAACAGATGCCGGTGGAGAAAGAATGGATGACGGTACAGGTTGAGTGTGTTGTTGAGAATCAAGATTAGCTTTAACAGATAATTGAGCAATGACTGGTGGAGTTACAGTAGTTTTACGAGGACGACCACGTGGTCGTTTCGACGGAGGAGTAACACCTGTTTGTTGAAGAGGAGTCCATGTCATCGATTGGTCATTTTCTAATATATTTCGAAAAATGAAAATTTACAAAAATATAAAAATTTCTACCTGATGTTTGACCGGCATTATTAACAAAGACAACTGATTCATTATTTGTTTGTAGAATATTTGATGAATTCGATGCGCAAACAAATACATTACCATTTGTTGTTTCAGCATGTGGTCGTTTTCGACGTTTAGCTATTTATAATAAATACAAAAAGAATAAAAAAAAGAACGAACGAGATGAAAAATTTATTTACCTAATTTTTGTTCTGTTTCACAAAATGAATCAATACAATTTGTTAATGTTGCCATTTCTAATATATTTGATTTTTGTCGACAATGAGTACCATCAAGAACTTGTGTTACCTCCCAAGATTTAGATTTTATCGTGGAATCAAAATTGAAAACCTATATATATATATTCAATTTTATTCTATAATTTTCAGAGATATAAATTATCGAACAAACCTTATCAACAATAAGTGGACATTGAAGACCACATTTACATGATGTTGGTGTTTCAAGATATTGACGTACAGCATCCAGTGAATCAAGTATGGCATTAGTTGGACTGAAATAATAAATGAAAGAAATTAGGAAAAGAATTCTAATATCAATCCGAGATTATGAGTTGTAAGTGAAGCAATCCTACTCTATCTCAATGTACTCATATGAATTGACTGCTAGAATCCATCACCATAACTCCGATATGTTTGAATAGAGAAGAAAATAGATTTGGTAAAATAATTTACCCATCCTCAAGTTTAAAAATCATGATACTTCGTTCGAGTTAGTCCAAGATTGAAGATTACATGCTGAAGCTTGGCAAGTTCAAGTACAATTTTTATGCAAAAGAGCCAATTCAAGAATATGAAAACTCAACAATAGTATCATTTGAATACAAACAATCTGATCACATAAAGTCATATGTTAATTCATGCAAATTATAAATATATGTATAATCTCGAAAATTATCAAATTGAGATGACATTCTCTCTTATTTTCATCACAATACATCTGCAATATTTATCACAATTCGCTCTTTTTTTCTCTCAAACATTGAAATATTCTACCTAAGATAAACAACAAAATCTGGTGCTAATATTCTTCTTTGCCATCCATATGGTACAGGTATATATTCCATTGATTGTAAATGATTTATTGTTGTTAATTGTGTATTTGATGAATTTTTCATTGTTTTTTTAGTACGTGAAAAATTGGGTGAAAGTGACTCATCTTTAACAATAATTCTTGTTAAAGCTTTCGCCTCTTTTTTTACACGTGATTTTTTAATAATTGTTGAATGTTGTTGTTCATTTGTTGATGAAAAATTAAATGAATCAATATGTATATTATAATTTGTTGTTGTCGTTGTATTTGTTTGATGTTCATCAACTTCTTTAATATTTTTTAATATTTGTGAAACTATTTCAGTTGTCTGTTTTTCATCAAATTGACATTTTTTTGTAACATGTTCATTATTTAATATATTCGTTGGTTGTTGTTGAACATTGGTGGTATGAATATTAACATTATAATTATTCACACTTATATTATTTGCTGTTATATTACTTAAATTAGTTGTATTTTGCATTGAATTTGTTGTTGATTCAATAATTGTTTTAGGTTTAAATGGTGATGGTAAACGTGTTACATTGATCAATGGTGGCTGTTGTTTAACAGGTGTATCATGACTAGATGAAGAATTTGTAGTACCTTGTTCAGATGGACGTTGTTGTTGTTGTTGTTCATCTATCTGACTAACAAGTGACGATTGTGAATGAACAAATCGTACGAGATGTGTTGGTGAAGCACTACTACTGCTATTCAATTGACTAGATGATGGTAATACTTCACTACAACATGATTGAACAAGTTCATCAATTGTCACATTAGCAGCAATAGTTGATGATTGATCTTCGTTATTTGTATTATTAGTAGTAGTAGTTGTTGTAGTATTGGTTTCATTTGTAAATGATGTTTGTGTTGAAAGATATGTTTCTGTTGTTGTCGTCATAATATGAGTTCGATAAACGAACTAAGAGAGATTTTAATGATCATATGGATATAAACAGATTATACAAAAAAAAAACAAAACAATCTAAAAAATGAATTCATTTATTTATTATTATTATTATTATTTGTTTTCTTTCTGTTCTCATTGTGAGTATTGTTGTTATTATTGTTGTTGTTGTTGATTCAACGGCCATAATCGAATGACAAAGAACTCTTTATTGGTTTTTATAAAAGAATTATTCTTTGATAATATATGGCATTTTTTTAAGTGGATTTTACTCCGAAAAAAAAAGAAATAAGAAAATAATTGTTTTTTTGTTTTTCCTATAAAAGAAAATAGTAGTGACATCTATAGGAAGTAAAGGCTGTTACTGAAGAAACAAACATAAGAAATATGGACATTATAACCGTATACTGCATTTGAAAGATTCAATTGTTAATGCGATGCGAAAGCAGAAGCATTTATGTAGTCCTTCGCGAGTTTTCTTTTTTTCTTCCTGTCTCGACGTACACATTCAAAATGGTCATTTTCTGACGAGATGATCTCAGCAATGGAATATCAGAAAATACTGATTCAAACGGGAGATTAACATTTGAACATTAAACTGATTTCACACGTTTTCCGATTTTCAATAGGACGTTTAATTCGTTTGCAGGAAGTGTCACAAAAACACGATTTTGACTATTTTAAATTTCGAGATAATTAAAACGAAAAACAAAAGCAAAAGTTAGGCGTCATTTTTGTTGAACAAATGTTTTACAGCTGAGAGAACATATGATGAATACGAAATAAAAGAGCTTTTATCTCAATAAATAAAAAAAGAATTTCATAAAAAAAACTGATTTAATTTATCAATTTCGATACTACAAATTTATTTTTTTATACTATAATTTTAAATGTTCACATTTTTATGAAAATCCTAAAAGCGTTATTTCGAAATTCTGCTTTCGCATCGCATTTCGTAGTCGAGTACAACTCGAATACCTTCTAGTTTTTTGTCATTTTCTGTGGAACATCTTGTTCTATATCATAGTTTCGTTTCAATTAGTCCATAAAACGATCAAGTGGAAAATCAAAAGTCATGTAAAGTCCAATATATATCTATTCTGAAACTCTATTAGTTTTCAGTTCAAACATGATTTATACATTTTTATTGACGATTAATGGCAATTCAAAGATAATGTATGATAGTTTCAGTTCTCTTCTTTGACATTTTCAACTAAATCAAACTGTGAACATACTAACATAAACTTCGAAAGATATTCACATTTCATAAAGATTACATTGCGAAGGATGACATTAACAATAATCTAGGGTGTAGCTGTGTGTATGAGAAAATTGACTCATATTCACATCATTCTTTTTATTGATTGACATTGTTGAAACACAGTTACATATTTCTGATGTTTGTTCAACACTCATAAACGATTGTTACTAGAATATTCTTTGGAGTAAGTTACAGTCATAGTTGAAGATGTTTGTCGTATGCAGTAAAGAAAATCAATCTTTGGGATTTATTCAAATTATAATTCATAAAAATACATTCCGAATGTACTATCGCTTTGCCACTAATTTAATTTGATTTATTAAAATAAATATTTTAAAAAAAAATACTTTTTAAGAATATTTAGTCGATGACATCATGAGCTGCACGATGTTTTAACAGATCACGTGGTGTAAAAGCTATAGGTAATAATTCACGAAGTTTATATGCTTTTGATTCATTTTTTGGATTAATAAGATAAACATCTAAATCAAGACCAAATTCAGCCAATGTCTGTCGACATGATCCACATGGACCAGTAAAACCAGTTTCCACATCACTAATAAAAAAGAATATGATTTCATTTCTCGATTGTAATCAATAAACCTACGATGTAATAGCAATCTTGTCAAATGACAATTCACCTTCTGAAACAGCTTTGCAAACTGCTGTTCGTTCAGCACATGTTGCTAAAGCATATGAAGCATTTTCAACATTACATCCTGAATATATTTTTCCACTCGATGTTAATAACGCAACTCCTACTCTAATGAAATAAAAGAGACGCAAATATTCAGGAAAGAAATATATTCATATATATATACCGAAAATTTGAATAGGGACAATAAGCTTTATGTTTAGCCAAATGAGCTGCATGAAATAATTCTAAAATGTATTGAATAATATATCTTTTGAAAATAAATAAAATAGAAAATTTAATAATCATTTCGAATCAATTAATATATTAATTAACTTCCATTACCCATCAAGCAAAGCGGTTTATGCAATTTACTACCTTCAAGATCAGGCGATGAGGGAGCAGGAATAATCTCTTTTTCCATCTAAATTTGTCAATATGAGAAAAATATCAAATCGAATAAACCAATATATTGTATCTTTATTACGATATATACATTTGTGAAGAAAAAATATTTGTATAAAGTTATATATCTTTACATGCAAATAAACATATACACTCAAAAAAAACAAAAAAGAAAGATAAAACAGTAATACCAAGACAGCTGTAACTTATCACATAAAGAAAAATAGAAAAATAAAACTGATCCACACCTTTGGCTATATAGATTTAAAAAAATTGAAATACGAGACAGATAAAAGATAAAAGAAGTAAATGCCATTTAGTTAATAACTATAGTTTTTCGATTGATGAAGGATTATAGATACTATTCGTTGTTGTTGTTGTTTGACGGTTAGCATGTGGTGATTTACCACGTGATGGAGCTTCTTTGGTTTGTGATGCACTAAATGTTACTGCTGGATGGCGTCGAGGATTATTTATGTCATCACTGGGATTAATTTTTCGATGTAATAAAGGTGCTGATAATGTTTGATCAATAAGAGGATGATGAGAAGAAGACATAGATGATGTAGAATGAGATGATGGTGAAATTAGTTGTTTCGTATTAATTAGTGATGTTGATGATTGAGTAGTTGTAATAGATGTTAATTTAGGTAAATTAAAACAAGCTTTACGTATTAAATGACGGGAATTTGATTTAGATGGTCGAATTGCGCCAGGTTTAGAAAGTTCAGCTACAAATTAAATTCTTTATTAATTTACAAAAACAAACTTTAGAAAAATTTATTTACCTAAATGTAATGCATATCCATCAGTAAGAAAACGTGCTTGACCTTGAAGGCGATGTTTTATTTTTCCAACAACAAATAATCTTTCAACTGGTACATGAATTAATTGATAACCAGGAACATCTTTTGATGAACCATATGCAGCTGTTATAGTTAAATCAGCTTTTTCAATTGCATTTCGTAACATTTCAGCTTTATTTTTAATTGGTTCACGTGATATACCATCATTGAAAAAGGTCATACCTTTCAGAAAAAAAGAGAAGATTATAATAAAACAAAAGATGAAATATTCAAACCATGAGGAAAATTATGTTGAGCAAGCCAATGAACAACACGACGTTGTTGAATATCAGGACGTGCAGTTACATATATAATAATATAACCTAATTCTTGCCAATATCTATTTTTAAATAAATTTTTAATTTTTCAAATAAACAAATCATTTATAGTTTATTTACCGTACAACATCGACAGCACCTGGTCGTACTTTTGGATCATGATGACTAACTGAAAAACTTGATGTAAATGAACCATCAACACTAAATATAACTGCTTCACTCTTAGGCGGTAAAACAGTTAAATGAAGATCAACTGTTGTATGATCACCTCTAAATGGCACAAAAAAAGAAATTTTAACTTAAATGAAAATTCAATCAAAATATCTTACCGAACAACACATTTAACAGGATGTATACCTAATGGTAATTTTTTATCATCTGGAATTGTATATCGTATACGACCATGTGTATCTGTTTCAAGAGTATCAACCAATGTCCATTCTCCATAGGGTGCGGATCTCATCACATAAATATCGACTTTTTCATTAGCTAAACAAACCATATCAATAGGTCCATAATGAAATTTCGCATGAATTGTTTGTGGTCGTGCATCAACAACCATAGTATCATTTGCTCGATGATTTGGTGCTAAATTCTATACAAAACAATTCAATTTTTTTAAATTTGATTATAACAATTATATTTCATACTCGTATTTTAACAGCAGTTGTACGATGTAACCAACGTTCAGTTGGTTTAATAGGAGAAAATGAACATGGATTCGAATTTGTTTGACTATTAAACAAATGAAATTGTTCTTGATTACGTGTAATCTATTGAACAAAATAATAAGAATAAAAAATTGTTTCTATTTCTGAAATAAATAATTACATTTCGTAAAATAAATGACATAACATCACGTGATTCCCAATAACTTGAATGAAAAACAATAGGTAGAACATGTGCTGGTTGACTCATTAAAGATTCTGGACAATAAACAATATAATCAACACGTCTTGAGCCCCACCAAGTTTGTCGAACTATAAAACATTAAACAAGAAAAATGTCTTATTAATTTTTCTTATTTACTATCAGAAAAAATCGTATTTGTTTCATTTGGTGTTCGATTTGTATCCTTATTTAAAAATAATTTTGAATGTTGATGAACATATTCAACTATTAAAAATCAAATACAAATTTCAATTGACAGAAAAAAAATATTTATTTTACCAAGTAATGTTGATTCTCCATCACCCAAAGGAAATTGTGAATAACGAGGAATACAACATGGATGTATTTGACTAAATTCTGATTGTATTAATGGTTCTATACGAGATGCATTTGGATCACAGGCATGAAATAAATTATACAATTGTCCACAACATGGACGCACCACTAGTTAATATAAAGAATAAATTATGATAGAAGAAGAAGAAAAATAATTACCATCTTCACTAAGCATTTGTCGATAAGCAAGTATAAGTGAAAGTGGTGAACCAAATGAAAAAAATTCATTGACATCAAATGCTAACATTAAACCATCATTATTTTCTTGTCTAGTACGTGATCTAATTCAAATATTTACTAAGGAAATATACGAAATAAATCTTACATATTATCACTTGTTTCGAGAATATCATTTGTTATATTACGTTTTGTCGTTGATCGATTTAATGACTGTCCTGAACTTGAATCATAATTGTCAATTAGTGCTCGTTTATTCAGTGCAGGTGTACGAGGTGTTGATCCATCTTATAAAAAACAAAAGGTTATTTTATACCGATCTGACTTCAGTTCAATTTATAATAAATATTTTCAAATCTTCAGAGATTATTTAGTGAAATCTTTTGCATGACTATCGTGTATACGAGCTTATAAAAGACTATTATTATTTTTTATATAGATAATAATTAGAATAAGTATATAATCTTCTTTGCAAAAGCGAATGAAATAACATAAATTGACGTATTCTTTACTTTTCTACTATAAATAAATGAGAAAAGCGTGTAACTATTGATTCTAAAGCTTTGAATATATGAAGTACTTCTCTTTCAGAAGGAAAAGCATATATTAAAGCAATCACTATGAAGAGCTTTTATATCTCTATGTTTCCTGCATTCGCTACACAGTTGGAGTTCTTCTCGAGTTGATAGTACAATATTTCTTTTTACAGATATATGCTTTTTCTTTAATTACTCAAAAAGAAAACTACTTCTATCATCACATTTCTCTATATCTAATATAGATAGATTACCTTCACCATACAATGAAGTTGCATCATCAAAACTATGATTTAAACATAGAGCATCATATGCTAAAATTGCACCATTAGCATCGCCAATAGCAACAACCTAGAATATGAATTTGATAAATATTTTTCTTAGATTTTATTCTTATCTTACTTGACCAGAAAAATTTTTTCCTTCTTTCGATGATAAAAAATCTTGATAAACTTTATTTGCAGATGCAACAGCATTTGTTAATGATGATTGATAACCACTATTGGATGTAGCAAACAATGGGATTGCATTTATTGGTAATGTTTCACTATGAGATATATCATATGTTGTATTTAAAGTACCATATGGTGATAAACTACTCAGTAAATTTATAGCTTCAATACATATAGAACGACATTCAACGAAACGTATTGCTATTTTGCCTTCAACACGTGAATAATGATTTTTCATAACAGTATCAAATGTTGAACGAAAACTGAGAAAATCAGTTTTTTTAGCACTAATAAATGCATCTTCTGTTGAAAAAATATTACCTAATTTTAAAAAAAAACGAATGAAATTTTTTTTATGTTCGAAATGAAAAGTATAAATTAACTCACCACCATAAAATATAAGTATAAGAATTTCAATAGGACATTTATTTTGAATATCATCTGATGCAGATAATCCAAATGTTCGTTCATCATCATCAATACTTGAATGATGAGAATCGGAATTTGCTGAATCATGTAAATGAATATCTTCTATTGAACGTGCTAGATTACGACTTGCTCGTGCGTTTGCCATACCTTCAACCATAGCTATTAATTAAATCATGCGTAAAAATATTAAGTCATATACTACTATTAATGACATTATAGAACAGATTATAATATCATCTATTTAGTATGTGGTGAGAAATATTTTTAGTAAAAAACAACGTTGCTTTTTTTTGCCGTGACAATGGAATGAAAATGTAAATATAATTGCCGGAAAATAGAAATTAACTTCATTAGAACTTCTTACTTGCATTTCTTTTAATATCAATATTATCATTAGAAACCAATGCATGACATAGAATGTAGATGATTTTGAAGAAAAACATTTACTTGCAAGACTACTCTCAGGCCTAGTATCTTTTCCTTAGGCAACAGACAATCATACGAGTCTGTATAATCTCTAATTGGAATAATAATGAAGGTCAACAATAATTTGCCTTTAGGGATTTGTCATTTTTATACTTTCTATTTTTCTATTTGACAAGATGACAAGAAATATTGAGTAACTATTTTTTTAACATTTGTCGCTTCTTCTTCTTCTTTTTTTGTTGACAATAGAAGAAAAAAAAACGTAAAATAATCTTACATTCAGCATCAAAGAATTCATCGTCGGATGCTTCATCTCGTGGTAATGGTGGTATAGGAAATGAATTCATTCTTGGTCTAATTGCATTAATACTATCAATCGACATTTGTCGATTTCTTTTTATTATTAATGGTTGATTTGTATCATTCGTTGATTCACTTGTTTTGTTCGTATCATTATTATTATCACAATTGGAATTCGTTAATGATAATTGAATATTTTCATTTTGAAATTGTGCCATACGTTTATTTAATTCACGTTGTGTTTCATCTTCTAAATTTCTTATATCAGCTAATGTTAAACCTTGATATTCATCTTGCCAACACCATGCTTGTCGATGTGCACGTAATATAGTTTTACGTAGAGCTATTTTCAAAAGAAAAATTAACTTTTTTTCATAATATCTTATTTTGTATATTACCAGTTTCATGAATAAATCGTTCACATCGACTTTGCATTCCCCAATAACGAAATTCTGCTCGACATAATTTATAAGCACACATAATAGAATCTTTTCGAGCTGTTTTTTTCATTTGTTCAAACCAATCAGATGCTAAAGGACCTCGTCCTAAATCAAATAAGTAATGTGAAATTTTTGTTACAAACAATCCGAAATTTATATTTATATCAAAAGAATTTTTCATATGAAAAACTGATAGATGTAATGAACTACATCGCTTAACGAAAATATTTGCCGAGATTGAATATGTATGGAAATTTTTTCTTTGTTTAGATCTACGCGAGATAGAGAATAAAGAAAAGATGGGAAGCCGACAATTATTAAGTAAATTCCATCAAGCGTAGTGTGAAAGAAAATCTAATCAACTATCGTCTGCTCTAATCAAAAAAAATGACTGAGCTTCCATAATAGAAAAAAAAAGAATGAAGTTAATTTCGATACCTAATGTCAGATTTTTATCTACTTTATCGTTCTTAATTTATGAAATGACATATCATATGTCTCTACAAACCTGTTTTTTCCGAACGGAATACAGTTGGATTTTCTGCTGGACTATCTGCTAATGGTTGACTCGAAACAATATCAAGATACTCTAAATAATAAGAAAATATGTTTTATTTTGCTATTCATTCTATGTAATACAAACCAACAACACGTTGATCAATTTCTTGTGGTTTTAAATTAAATATATTTTCTTGTGTACCAAAATCAGCTTGATAACATGTTTCAACTTCAATTACAAAACGATCTATAAATGGACAACGATAACGTGTTTTTGTATATGGATAAGCATTCCATGCTTCTTCTTCAATTTTCATTGCATTCGCTGGTAAAATTGCTTTAAACCAACCAGGTAAATGTCGTTCAATATGATAGATTTTAAACGTATATTGTCCATTACCACCAGGTCCATTAGTATATGGTTCATTCTTAATTATTTCTACACCACTACCTGATGAATTCGTTTCTTCACGACTTTTTTTCTAAAAAAAGTTCATTCGTTTTTTTTATGAATAATCAATAGCAGAAATATTGAATTAGAAAATTTTAGTAATAAATCATAATCATTAGATGTCTAGAAAAGAGCAAGATTACTCATGCAGCGGTGTACCCCTCTCATTAGCTATTACCTATGAAATGTCTAAAAAACATTCTGTATTAAATATATATTAAAATTTTGTAAAATTAAAATTGAAGAAAAATAAATTATCACCTACCACAATCATATATAGTTGAGCAATTCGATATTCATCGACAGTCATAGGTACTGGTATACGATATTCTTTAATCAGCATTTTTGTTTGAATAAATTAATCTAATGTGATGATGGTATTTGTTGAGAAGAAGAAAAAGACATCCATTGTATAGCTGTTGTCGTTTGTCATTACAGATCGGTTATATGTGTGGATCATCTGAAATCACTAGAGAAATAGTAGACATTCCTTCTTCTTCTCTCTTCTCTCTTCTACATTTAGTTTTCTTTTCCTTTGCTATCTGCCGTTTTCTCGAATCGACAACGATGAGAAATAAAAAAAAAATGAGACAGAGAGAGAGAGAGAGAAGAAAGAAAAACGACGACGACAACGACGACGACGATGATGACTGAATTGTTTTCTATTTTTCCCACATGTCAAAACATACTCTAAGAACGCTCGTCTTCCCGAAAGCAATTGCCTTCTTATTTTTCCTCCTACTCTCTATTCTTCCCTTTTTCTTCATCATCATATTCTCACGCTATCCATAAACTAAATCAGCAACATTTCTATCAATATATCTACATTCTACAATGACCTATATTTCTATAAACATATCGTCTGTATTAAGTGAATACTTATTAACAAATCTATAGAATAGTTTATGATACTTAATGAGACTTCTTCTTCTCTATGTGCGTAGGTGTAGTCTATTTTATAAGTAAAAAAATGTTTGAATAGAAAGAAGTCAAACAGATTTGAATTATTAATTTTATCTAACAGAAAAAGAATATATATATATATATATATATATTTAATAATATACTACAATCGATTATAATAACAATATGCTAGAAGGCAGAGAATAATGAATAAATAATAGAGAATACATTGATTCTTATCAAGAATATTTGTATAGACTTTTGTTCTCTATTGAATGACAATTGATATAATGCCGAACAAATAATAATAGAAAGAATTACATGGAATTTAAATGATTAATAATCGAAGTTAATACCTCATTTATTGTAACTGAGATTGATATCAAAAAAATATATTTATCATTAAAATTCTTTTCTTTATTAAACAATGAATAATCAACATATATATATATATTTATTATTTAAGAACTATTTTTACTATTTATTTTTCTACATAACTGAAACTACTTTAACTTCCGTTCATTAAATATGAATGAATAATTATTTCAATTATGTAAGAAAATGATTAATAAAACTTAGTATAATACGACAGCTCGTTTCTATAATAAACGGCGAAGAAGATTTTTAATCAAATACGGATTTAAATGATCTGATGAATTAAGATATTTATTCATAAGAAATACTCTATTTCCGCAAGTAAATACTTCTTAATATGTGTATTTATAAGAGAGAGAGAGAGAGCATCTCTGGAGAATAGTAATGCTTCTGTTGAATAATTAATGCATGAAGTACAAAACAAGATGTAAGTGCAGGCAGTAGAAGCAATGTCAATGTAGAAAACAACTAACTGTAATGGCAATATTTACCACATATAAAAATCGTTCATCAATATAGTATTGAACCCTGGAGTTATGTCAAATAATAATTTAGAAACTTGATGAATCAAACAGCTGAACTACAAACAACAACAACAAAGTTAAAAATCATGACTATTATCGGAAACTAATAGATAGTATAAAAATAGTAGTACGAACTGTCGACCCTTATATATTTCTATAAGCGCATTCCGGAAAGAAAAGTTTTTTTTATTAGTTAATAAGAAATTTTTTCCTCTTTCAATTTGTATATGATTTCTTTTTATCATGCCATTCATAATCGAACAAAACAAAAATAAAATAAGTATACTTATTAGAAAAATAGTATTTGATCTTTAAACAAAAATGAATATTCAATATAATAATCAAGCTTTTCAAATACAAAATATTTCTATTTTTTTACTATAGACAAGGATATATATAGGTTCGTTAGGATAGACTTGTTTTCTGTAAATAGTATATAAATGAGTAACTTGTGTTACATACCATAGATTATATTAGATTTGGTTTCCATTGTATATGATTTAGATGACGCCTCAACAGATTCAACTCGACATCATAGAGAACCAAAGTAAATATAATACACTGCAATAAAAGCAATAGAATTTGTTAATTTACATACCATTAGATAGAAAAATATTTTTTCTTCTAACGCTATATTATCTTATTTTGTAATAAAAATCCTCTAGTCGTCTCAGAACATTCTACGCGCTTGTACTCACTAGCTTAGATTTCGATTGTAATAAGGTGTTTTTTTTTCAAAATGAATAAATTATTTCTGGAATATAATTTTTTTTTTTTGAAAAATTTAACCATGACTATAAAGAATAAATAAGCGAAGTGCTTCTATTTTTCCTCGGGTCACTTTAGTTATGAATGCATGACAAAAATAAATCATAAATGGTGTGTAAAATGTAGAAAGAATATTTTTCTATACCGATGACAAGATTTTTCTTCTTCTTCTTTATATAGGAATATAAGAGTTGACATGTTCTGTCATTATTTTTACATGATATGTTCGTTATAATCTCTAGAAAATGTAATATTAAGTTATTCTCATGAATTTTTTTTTTATAGTAAAGAAATTTTATTATTACATTTGATTTCAAGCTGTGAATGTTTATATCTAGAATAAAGAAAGAAAAAAAAAGAAATTTTCTGTTGATATAGGCACTTATATATATTCATTAATGTGTCCACAAGACATGTATACAAAAAAAATAAAATTAGAAGTAAAGCTATTGTAATTTTTGTTTTTGTTTCTTTCAACATAAAAAAAAATCGACAAGAATACATTATATTTGAGCAAAAACATCAAGTAAAGAGGATAAATAAAATCACAGCCAACGCAATGCCAAGAAATACACGTGATAATAATTCTTGTTGTTGATATTCAGGTGAATTTGGTGGTGCTAAAAGAAATAAAAATAAAAATTTGTAATTTTATTTTGTAAAATTATCTACGTGGGGTGTAGTTATAATCAGGATTAGCTGTGTTAAATGTTGTTTGAAATAAACCAAATGGGAATGCACCAAAACCAAATGACATTTGAAAATTAACACCTTCACCAAAACCGAAATTCTAATCAAAATCAAATAAAAAATATTATTCTTTCTTTTTTTTATTTTCTTTACTCGATTTTGACGTGCTTCTTCTCTAGTACCAGCTGGTCGTGGTGGTACGGTATCTCTAAAAATAAAATAAGAAATTGATTAATTAGAATTCTTTTTTTTTGGTACTACCGTGGATCAGTTTGAGGAGAATTTCGTCCATAGATTGGAATTAGTTTATCACGTGATATACTACTTTTACATACTGGACATGTTGGATTCTGTGCACGAGTTTCAAGCCATTGATGAATACATGGCCAACAAAATAGATGACCACAAAGTGATAAAACAGCATTACGAGCTGTTTCTAGACAAATCTAAAGATCAAATTTCTTTCTTATAATATCAATTAATAGAGAAAAAAACAATATAATAATAACTCACATTGCATTCGTAACCCGAATCTTTATCGTTATTTGATGATGTTTTCTTCTCATCATTACTGTGCGAAGAGGGTGGAACATTATCATTTTCAGACGACGCTCTTTCTGTTGATTCCATTAATTAAAAATCTAGAAATGAAAATATAATATTCATCAAAATATTTTGCGAAAAATAGATTCAACGTAATAAGTATAGAAAACACGTATACTGTTTTTTTTGCTAATTGATTGGTTTACTCGATACCATTGACAATCATCGAGAACCTCTAGCTCATTTGACAACCAATAGAAAAAAATAGAGCTAGTAGACTTGTTAATATATTAAATAAATGAATCTAATAAAATTATGTCGATTGCTCATTTTATAAGCATGCGTTGTTGTTAGATCGTGCTTCGTAATTGTATTATGAGATTAGCAAATATTTAATGTGAAATTATAATTTTTTTTCCTATGCATAGAACAAGTTATTTTCTATAAAATCAACAATTTAACAAAACTACGAAACAATTATGGATATGTTTTAGTTAAATAGAAGAAAAAAAAGCATGTTCATTTCTCTTTGAGTTCGAAAGCAGGAGGATGTTCATCATTATAAATAATTGTACATTGAGGCAATTCATTTTTTAATAATTTCATTACTGCTTCACGATTTTTCACATTTGATAAACGAGTCAAATCAATTTGTTTCAAGTTTCTATAAAAATAGAAATTTTTTTACAGTTGAACAATATTTCAAGAATTTGACATACTTCAATCCAGCGAGATACGCAAGACCATTATCACTAATTTGAATTAAATCGATAAGTGTTATGGATTCTAATGTTTCCTTTACTTTATTACACCGAGCAAAAGAACCTAAATTAATACGAATATATAAATGAAGATTGAATAAAATAGACACATACTATCAGCAACTTGATCACATTTTTCTAAATGAATTTTTTTCAAATGACTCAATCCATCTATAGAGAAAAGCATATAAACTTAACTTAAAATATTATATAAAAACAATTAAGTAACCTAAATATGCAAAACCTTCAGATGTAATACAAGCGTTAACAGCTCGAATTTCTTCAATATGAAATTGCCCAGAAGCACCAGTGGGTATCGTATTATAATTTGATATAAATGAACCCCAATGTTTAAAACGTACAGAACCACCACATCTTAACAACCATTCAGTACAAGCACGATCAGGACCAATTTCTCGTACACGTTTTCGATCATATCTTAACAAAAATGACATATCTATACTAAATTCGATCGAAGAGATGTAAAAATCTTCGTTGCATGTCATATTTCTCAACTATGTAGTTTAACAGACGAATCATCATAAATGATATAAATCAAACAATGAGATATTATCAAGAAGCGCAACAAGTAAACTCTTATTCTCATTTCATCATATCATACTAGTAAATTAAACATACCTTACTTGTTCCAAATAATATTTAACGAATTCCAAATTTGTCGAGAATTATTCGATGATGATTGAATATTAGATATCAAACGTTGAGTAAATATTTGTGTCATCTACAATAACGAATACGACATTACCGTTTATTACAAGATAATTATAGGTTTCTCGATATTTATTTATAATTGAATCTTCATACGTATTTTATCAGTCATTATAACTAAATTATTTTATTGATTTCCATGATATCTCTACACATTCAGTTTTTAAAGGATTATATATAGATTTATGGCAAACAACTCTTGAAATTCTTTCTTCCATATTACGAACTTTTTGTATAAAAATGATTAATATCATTAAAATTTAGCTTTTACATCTTATATATCAATATGCATAAAATCTGAAATTATATCAATAAACATATGTATTTAGATATCTATAGATTCTTTTATAGGAAGTCTTCTATGACACTTTTTTTCATATTGAATAAGCTGATGTATTTTGTTTTTTATTCATAAAATTTTTTTATTTTTCTATAAACAAAAATATTCTTGGTGAATAAGAACTTCTTGTTTCTTTTTCTTCTTTTTAGCTTAAAAACAAAACAACTGGTTTAGAAATGGATCAATTCGTAGCACTGCCAGCTGTTGTCACTGTTGTTGTTACACCTTCAGCTTTCTGATTATCTTCACCTTCTTTATATGGCTTACATGCTGGAAATAATAAAACTTCCTAAAAAAGAAAAGAAAAAAAAATCAAAATTTCAAGATAAATTCTTAAAATATATTTTTACCTTGATATTATTACTATCAGTAAGCATCATGGTAAGACGATCAACACCTAAACCCCAACCACCTGTTGGTGGAAGACCATATTCAAGTGCTGTACAGAAGTTTTCATCAATTAATTGAGCTTCATCATCTCCTGCATCTTTATCCTATTTTAATTAAATTATTCAAAATAAAATTTCTTGTTTGTTTTTTTTTGTTACTTTAGCTTGTAATTCAAACATTTCTCGTTGTACAATTGGATCATTTAATTCTGTATAAGCATTACATGTTTCTTTGTAACAAATAAATAATTCAAATCGTTCAGTAAGACCTGGTATTGAACGATGACTATTAATAAAAAAAATTTGAAAAATAAATATTCAATTTGATTAAATTTATACTATTTAGCTAATGGACTCATTAATTGTGGATGATTGCAAAGAAATGTTGGATTAAGACATTGAGTTTCAAGAAAATGACCAGCTAACTATAAGAAAAAGAAAAATGAAAGTTTAGTTTCGTTTTCAAAATTTTTATTTTGTACTTTATCAATAAGTCGAGCTGTTGTTCGTGGATTAGTACATTCAATTTCATGTTTCTTACAAAGATTATCTAAGAATTTATTTGCTGCTGGTGTTGTAAGTTCTGTAGCTGGTGGAAATTTTTCACCCGTAGCTTTTTCAAGATCTTCAATTAAACTTAAACGTTTAAATGGTGGTGTAAAATCGATTTCAACTGGTGCTTCATCAGGTCCATTCATATGATATGATATTTTATAGGTTCCATATAAATGTTTAACAAGACCGGATATTAATTTTTCAGTTAAATCCATTAAATCATTATAATCAGCATAGGCCATATAGAATTCACAAATTGTAAATTCTGGATTATGTGTCATATCAATACCTTCATTACGGAAGACACGGCCAATTTCATAAACACGATCTAAACCACCGACAACTAACATCTAGATTACATTTGAGAAATATAAAATATGTTCGAAAGATTAGAGATTTTTTACTTTAAGATAAAGTTCTGGTGCAACACGCATAAATAATTTCATATCAAGATCATTATGATGAGTTATAAATGGTTTAGCAGCAGCACCACCAGCAATCATATTCATCATTGGTGTTTCAACCTAATTTTATCGAAATGAGTTTAATTAATAAAAACAGATGATATTACTTCAAGAAAACCAAGTGTATTGAGAAATTGTCGAACATAATTAATAATTTTTGCTTTAATAACAAATTTTTGTCGAACAGAATCATTAATCATTAAATCAAGATATCGTTGACGAAAACGTGTTTCCTTAAAAGAAAGAAAATATGTATTTATTCAAGAACTTTTTATTATTTTTCAAAATACCTTATCTTTAAGACCATAATGTAAACTAGGTAATTGATGAAGTGATGGTGTGAGAATAATTAATTCAGTTGGTATAAGACTTAGTTCACCTTTCTTTGTTCGTGCTAAAAGAAAAGTAAATTTTGTTATAGAAAAAAACGAGACCGGTATGAAATTTCTTTACTTGGTTTGCCTTTAGCACCAATAATATCACCTCGACGTATACGTTCATTTACAGTTGCAAATTCTTGTTCGTTATGATAGAATCTACATAAAATATTTAAAGAAAATATAATATTTAAAAATATGTCTATTACTTGAGATTAGCCATAACTTGAATTTTAACTGAATCACTATAAACATCATAGAAATAAAGTTTTGTTCCTGATGCACGTTTGGAATAAACACGTCCTAAATAACATATTATTATCTTTTAAATATAATTCAATCCGTATTAGAATATACCAGCAACTGATACAATATCTTCACTGACTTCTTCATTTTGTAAATGAGTATATTTATCAATATAATCTCGTAATGATATTGAAACATGAAATTTATGTGGATAAACAGTTTCACCGGCATTTTTAAGTTGATGCACATGATGTAATCGCATTTTATAATATTCCTATTAATTTCATAATAACTTTTATAAAAAAATAAGTAATATAGTTACATTCGGATCAATATCTGCTTCCTCATTCTCACCACCGGCAGCAGCTGCTTCCTTTTTAGCTGATGATTGCTGTTGTGCAGCAGGTGCTTTTGTTGCCTTATCGTCAGCCTTCTTTTGAGCTTTCATTTGTCGTTTAAGTTCACTAAAATAAACAAAATAAGGTAATTCAGTTTTCTTTCTAAGCATAATTCGAGAAAGATCAATTCTCGTCAATAGATCTTATTCATTTGATGTAAAAAACATTCAATTTCGATCTCGTATTGATTTGTAACTAACTTCCTATTTTATCTCTAAATTTCAATAGTATTTTAGCTCAATCAGAATGCGTACCATTGAGACGGCAGATAAAGTGCATTTTGAAAACGTCCTGCACTGAGTATATTTCTTGTTAAACGAGCTAACATAATGTTTTTTCTAATAAACAAAAACCATCTAAAAAATAGAAATGACATACTTTTTACTAATCTTTTCTTGTGTTGAACCTTGTTCATCTACATTATCACCGGTAGCATCAGACGACACTTAAAAGCAAAAAAATGTCATTCAAAAACAAAACATCATATCTTACTAGTTCTTTTTTTCGATACAAGAAACGATGAAATCTATCTACAATTAAATAATAACATCATTTAGACAAAAAAAAAAAGAATTAACAAGAGATTGCATTTTTTTATAAGACAAAAAGAAAAAATATCATCCGTAATAAACACATACATGATGGATCAAACAAATTACTATTATACATATATCATAAACAAAAATAGAAACATTCACTTATTTTTATCTGATAAACTTTCTTCTGATGATGAGATAACTGGAGAATCTTGACGTTTATTTTCATTTGATATTGAACGAGAACGATTATCTTTCTTGTTATTATGACTATTATTTGTTGTTGGAATACGAATCGATCTACGTGTTAATCGTGATTTAGTTACTGAATCACTCGTATCTGATGAATCTGTCATAGAAATATCCATAGATTCAACATGAGTTGTATTTTGTGGTTGACTAGGACTTATTAAATTACCATTAAAAACTGGTTTATGCTTACGAGCACCATTAAAATAATTACAATATGCACAACGAAATGCTAAAAATTTTATAAATTTATATTTTTTGAATTTCATTAGAAATTCGTAGCTTACATAAATATTCAAATTCTTCTTCTAATGCCATACCTAGGAAATAAAAAGAGAGAATATTGATAGACCTATTTACAAAACTATAATATATTAAACTGACCATTATGACTGTTACATGATTTACATATCAATGCATAACTAAATAAAAATTTCGATTAAATATTTGTGACAACAACAAAAAATCATACCGTTTTGATGGACCATCACCGACAACTGTATCAAGAATTGCACCCCAAAATGTACGTTGAGGTGGTAAAATTGCACGTGGTAATTTACCAGGTGTTACACCAGCTAAATAAAACGTTATTTGAAATATTAATTAAGATAATCGCTTACCAGCTAAACGAGTTGGTCCACCACGTACAGGTGTTCGTGATTGAAGATTATTATTTTCATATACGTTAGGATTTAATGAAATGACTGCAAACAAATAAAATATTATTTTCTTGAGAAAGGTAATATTTATACCTGGAACAGTGGATTTTTCTAGACCAGGTGTTTGTGGTCTGATTGATGTGCGTTGACGTAGATCTAAAAACAATAAATATTAATAGTTCTAGCAACGAAATCAGTACTATATATAATGATCGAATAGCATCAAAAAGATGATGCAATGTCAGTATGACGCAATATGAAAAGATATATGTGATAGAAAATAAAATGATGCATATCATTCTTTAGCAGATGGTAATAATGATATATTTAAGATTTTAATTTGAGTAATAGATTTAATTAGATTATATTTTTATATACCTGTATTATTACCATTGAGTGTTGGTGATCGAATTTCTGGTGTTAATTTTTCGCCATATTTTTCTAAAAGATTTTTTGCTACAGCATATGTTTCTTTATTTTTAACTTCTTCGATCTATCAAAACAAACAAACAAACAGTGATAAACAAACAGATCAGTTATAAATTCTTACCAATTCTTGTTTTCGTTCTCTGAATAATCCTAATTTTTCTTCTGAAAAAAATAGAGATTTGTATATTCTTATCAGTTTATATACGTTAATTTTGCTTACCTTTTGTTTGGAGAGTCATTCGAAAGTACCAGCATATAATCCAATGAATACCATATAATCTTTTCAAGAAAAAGAAATATACTTAATTATTTAAATTCTGTCTAGATAAAAAAATGCATACAAAACTGCAACTGCGATAGAAATTGTATATGAATAAACTCGAGTGAGAAAATCTTGTGAAAGAAAGAGTGTATAATAAGAAATATTTATCACTGAATAGATGAGAATGGCATAGATGGCAAACCATTTTGTCCATTGTCGTTGTAGTGAACGTGTTTGAGTTAAACTTTGTTGTAGATTACTTAATTCCTATAGGAACCAAAAAAGTGTAAAGAAAAATATTTATAATATTTAATATCATACACTATGAAGATCATCGAGTTCTTCAGTAAGAGTTGTACGAAATTTCTGTAAGAATTTAATACATGATTAATAAAATTTAATGAAGTGTATTATTACATACGAAAATTCGAAACTTAAACAATCGATTGAAAAATGACATATTTAATGATTATTTTTGTACAAAACGTATGAAGAAATTTAAATCTAGAATAAAAATAGATTAGATATTAAATTATATCTCTTTTATTCGGCGATTTTTTCGCTATTATTATTATATAGAAGGCTAAAATTGTCGTCAGTGACCTCGTGTATATGAAATCTAGCTTAAACAAATAAAGATATAAATATGCAACGTGTATATTTCTATTTATTGTTATTTTTTTCTTCTTCTTGTAGTTGTAGTTCTATGTGATTCATATTGTTTAATACGATTAACCAATCAGTTTAGTGATCGTTTTCTCTTCCTTCAAGTAAAAATTTCTTCGCACGCGCCTCCATTTTGGTAATTTAAAGGACTGTTTTTCTTCTCATTATCAAAATCGACAATGAACGATTTCAACAAGTAATAATCTAAGACATTTTCTTGAATATTAATCTATACCTTTTTTTTTAATTTAATTCTAGACGTGTCAATAGTATTATTGTTAAAAATTTACCCAAAGATTTTAATACAGTAAACTAATATGTTATTTCTAAATAGCAAAATATGAATTTTTATACTTATATCAATATAGAATCAGTTGGATAATCTATTTTCACAATTTGGACAAATCATTTCAAGTAAAGTTTTACCATTTACTCCAAATTATGAAGGTGGTTGTGGGTATGTTTCTTTTTTTTAATATTTTATTTTTTATTCATTTTTCAAAAATACAGGTTTGTTAATTTTGCTGATGCCGACAGTTGTAATCAAGCTGTTGAAAAGATGAATGAGTTTGTTGTTGATGGATTTACTTTACGTGTTAGTCATTCAGCGGTAAATTATTTTGTTTTATTATGAATTTATTAGTTATTTTTATGATTTAGTCACGAAATGGAAATAATAACTCGGATCGACCACAAAATGGGTTGTAAGTTCACATTTATCTATCGAGAAATTGTGTTTTATATAAACTTCACTGACACTTTGTAAATTTACTAGTCGTAGTTTTGGTCAATCATTTAATCGTACGACGTCAGCAACAGCTGTTAATCCAGAAGAGACTAATGGTACATTATCACCTGGTGTTAATGCTCGATTTTCTGGTTTTCGATCACCAAGTGCAAATCAGTTTAAACCAATGACAGCTGATAGTACACATTCAAGTACAAATGAATTAAATGGAACACCACAATCCAATAAACCATTATGGAATAGTAATTCTGGACAACAAACACCTTTAATATCAAATAATAAAAGTCCATTTCAAAATGGTAAGATATAGCATTTTAAATCTATTTGAAATTGAAAAATCTTATTTCAGGAACATCAAATGTTAATCAACAAATAAATATTCAAGAACATGAACCATTAGTTATCAATAAAACTTATAAT